TTTTCAAGGAGGGAAGAGTTGCCTTCAATAATCAAACGATCAAGAGAAATCAAGTGTTGCAATACTCTATCCTCATTCTTCAGTGAAGATGTCAGCTCCTCGCATCCGCCAATCGTCAAATTAGCAACCTTCCTTAATCCTTTGGTGAATTCCCCTGTTTGGAACCTCACCTCTGAAATATTTGAAAGTTGCCAGGACTCTAATAACTCAAACTCAACCCCACTTGTCTTCACCATCGCTTTGCAGCCATTTATCCATAATCGACCAATTTGTTTATAGTTGGAAATTGAAATCACCAATTCCTTGCATTCAGCAATTCTAAGTGTTGCTAATGAATCAAGGTTCTCGGGCACCTTACCCTCCAATTGAGGACAATTTTTGATTGAAAGAGACTTCAAGAAAGGGAAAACCTGATCTTGTGCGAAAGGAAGCCATTTCTTCCAGTTGTGCATATCTACAAACTTAAGATCCTCTAGTACGGGAAAAGGCAAGCTACTCTCTCCATAAAACTCAGGACCAACACTTTCCACTGCAGTCATTCCTGTAATATAAAGCCTTTTGAGTGAAGGCAACTGTCCAAGTGGTGGCAAGATTTTACAGTTCTCACATTTGTTTAAGCGTACTTCAACCATAGTAGAGAATAAACGATCTCCAATCCATGCTGAAAATTCTAATCCAGCATAACCCCTGATGATGAGTTTTTCAAGCTTTCTTTGAGGTTCCAATCTGTCAAGCACGCCTAATTGATTTTCTTGTGTGGCACTCGACCATGACCATTGTAGCACCAATTCATCCACTCTCTCCTTGGATTTTAAGTCGGCCTTCCGTGCATCCTCAGCATCGATCACATTCTCCAACCTCGAGAGCGATAATGTCCCTCGGAGATGGGATAGGGATCCTAGCTCTCTTATCCCTGATTCATCACTACCTTTACCCACCACAAAATTAGGCAAAGATTGTAGACTCGTCAACCGACCTAGTTGCGGAGGCATTGCTTTCAGTGAATGTACAACTGAATTGTTGAGATGACGCAGATTCACTAGATTCTTCAAGTTGATAGGTAGTGCCAACAATTTATAACAACCTTGCAATATCAATGTCTGTAAGTTGTAAAGAGTGGTCGTTGATTCAGGCAAACTCATTATATGTGTTCTAGAAAGATCAAGATATCGTAGATACTTCAATTTACCAATTGAATTTGGCAGCTCAGTTACTTGATAGCCATTGAGAGAAAGCACCCGCAAGTATTGCAATTTTGGCAATAAATCAAAAGTAACCTTACGACTTAGATAATTCGAAGGATAATCAACTGAAAGTTGTAGGAAGGTTCGCAAATGTTTCACTTCAGAAAATGCCTCAAATCTTTTAACCACATCATACTTACCAGAAATGTAGGATGCATGGCGGGCCTTCGTAAAACATCCAAGTTGTACATGATCGCTATTCTGCTTATCCTCCAATCTAAAACAAATATCTCCTGCTGCCCACTGTGCCAAACCAACAACGAGGTCATGCATTACATATTTTGAATTGTTTTTGCTTGATTTCTGAAATAATGACCTCGATAAGAGCTCCTGAAAATAGTCAGTTCCTAAATCTTCCATTTGCTTATTCATAGTCAGTTCTGGTTGTGGTTGAATCAAACCCTCTGCCATCCACAGAAGAATCAATTGCTGCTCACTAAATTCATAGTCATTTGGAAGTATCGAACAATAGGCAAAGCATCTTTTCAAATGTGAAGGAAGATAGTGATAGCTTAATCTTAATACCGGAAGTATGTCACGCTCATTTGATAGACTCCATAATTTGTTGTTCAATATTTCCTCCCATTCATTCATCTCTTTACGAAGTAAAAGGCCGCCAAGAGTCCTAGCAGCCAATGGCAATCCCCTGCATCTTGCAATAATTTTCTCCTTCAGTGACTCGAAATTTGGTGGTATATCTCTGTTAACATTCCTGAATGCATGCTGCTCAAATACTTGAAAACAAACGTCATTTGACATAGGCTCCAAATTATGAACTAGAGTGCCAGCTCCCATCATTTTTGAAACTTCTGCATCACGCGTTGTCACAATTATCTTGCTTCCTGCTGCTCCATCGCGAAAGGGGGACTGCAGTTTCATCCATAGACCATAGCTACATGTGCCCCAAACATCATCCAAAACAATTAAAAACTTCTTCCCAGCTAATTCCTTATGCAGATACTGTTGAACCTGATTGAAGTCTTCTGTAGGATAGTGCCGGGATGTGACTGATTCGAGAATTTGCTTTGTCACTCTTTCTAGGTTGAAGTCATCAGACACGCATACCCAAGCAGTCGGTTTAAATTGCTGGGTTGCATCAATTTCATTGAACACTTGTGCAACAAGTGTTGTCTTTCCGACTCCAGCCATACCAACAATGGCAACTACATCGAAATTGACGGCACCACGCTCTTGTTTTGACAGAAATTCCACGACCCGCCTTTTGTCTTCCTCCCTTCCAATCACAGGTCCATCTGGTTGACTGGAACTGGGTGGTAAATTTTGACGTGCCTTAGTAGACGACGTCGTCCCAGTAATGATATTCAAACTAAGCTGGTCCTTTCGGTGAGATATCTCTTGTAAACGCTCAGTAATCTTCTGTATTTCTGAGTTCATTTTGTAGATGAAAACACCATTAGGAACTGAGTTCCAGACCCTTCTTGCGGTGCTGGCATGATGGCCCCGCATTATCTTCCGTTTGAGCATTTTAGTATCATATTTGTCCAATACGTGTTCCACGTCATAAGCTAAGTCCCTGAGATCATCCAGCCAAAGCTTCAGCTGCATGCTCTCGGTGATTAGTTGCCTCTCCTCTGCGTCATTCAGAACCGCTCTAATTTCAGACAAAGTGTCAATCCATTTCGGCAGCTTTTGGTCGACGCCCTTTATGAGTCCAAAGTACTTGAAGACCTCACGCTGCGCCAACTTGTCGACCAGCACTTGAAGGAATGCCACAAGAAAAGCCTCTCCCATAGTTTCTGAAGAGAAGCGAGCAATCAAAGAAAATGTAAGGAGTTGTTCCTTGAAGGAGCTTGAGCAATATCCAAGTCTTATATATGCACATACGATTAAAATCACAAAAATACCATATGCTCCTTTTTCATTTTATTTAGGGAGATTCACCATTATACCTAATATAGGGGTTCAAGTTATAAAAAAATTATATATGAAATGGATTTAGAAACACACTCAAACCTCATTTATAATATAACAAAGAGACTTTAAACTTCCCATAATTACAAAACTGCTATTGTTTTCTTAACAGAAGCCCAAACCCAAAATCTCGTAAAAAGACTCAAACACTCAATAGGGGCAGCTGTGATTTTTTGAGTTTTTTTTTTAGTTTGTTTATAAAAATGTATGATTTATAAACGCTTCATTTGGGTAAGCATGCATATCCAAATAAAAAAATAAAAAAAATTTCCATACATTGCTTTTCTGTTATGACACCCATGCTGATTTCAATTCCTAAAATAAAATATGAAAAATATAAGGGCAATTCAATTTACATAGGAAGAATTGATCAACATGCTGATTTGTTTTTCACAATTTCTAAGAGCAGTTCTTGAATATCGCTTGTATAAAAGAAAATACATAACAATATGTAACTAAGCAGACCCAAATAATAACTTTGGCAGTGGCTTGGGGCCTTTATATTGCCTTGCCACCGTAACCGTTGATGACAGCAAGCCTTTTTTTATTTAATAAAAATCATAAATCAGTTTTGAAAAAAAGAATAAAAAATTCTTCAAAGTCTCTATTGTTGTATCTTACCAAATAGATGAAGAAAACAGGAAGCCTTATTGCGCAAAACAAATAAAATACAAGAAACAAAAAGAAACAAAAAGCAAAAGGCACCAAACCAAACAGAATAAATCAAAAGTACCTGCAGTTTAAGTATCAGCAGCAGATTTCTTCACGAATTACCAAATACCGAAGGTGTCGCAGTGAACAAGAAGGAAAATTCAAAGGCAATACACAGTTACACACTTTGAGAACAAAAGAGATCAAGAGAGCCAGAACCAAGACATAATATATATGAAGATGGATGAGTGTGGAAGATGGGTTTGAGAATTTTGAGTTAACGGAAAAGACTCTGAAACAAAGACTCTGGTAGATAAGGAAAACGCAATGCAAATTCCCCAGTCTTTACACCAAAGTTACAGAAATTACATAGAAAAAGTAGAATGCTTTTTTATTTTGTTTTGGTCAAAATTAAACGTAGAAGCTGATAATTGAGTTTTAAATCAATAGAGTGTCTATCTAATGGCCCAGCTCCAGATAATTGAGTTTTAAAACTAAAAGCTCCCAAAAAAGAAAGAGAGAGAGAGAAGAAGGAAAAAATAAATGAAAAGAGAGGGAGAGATGGAAAGTGACGGAAGGAAGAAGAAGATGGGGAAAAAAATAAAAAAATGAAGGTGTTGGGAGAGATGAGATATGGAGAAATTAAAAATTACAAAAGAAAGAAAAAGAAGGGTTGGTTTGGGCGCATCTTCAAATGCCCATGCATGCTCTCACATTTTTTTTATTAATATTTATTTAGAGTAACTATGACTAATTATATAGAGGGAAGGGAAAAGAGCCATGGTTAGTGAGAAAGATTCCATCCATATATTTTTATTAAATTACCATTGTAAATATTTTATTATGGGAAAAATTATCCTCTTATATTTTATTACATTATTACTGTTCTTGTGTCAGTTACAATAAAATTTATTATATTTAAATTATTAGATACAAATAATGGTGACTAATTTGGTTAAGAGAGTTGACCAATTGTCACCAAAATAAATTAATTACTTAAAAAAATGTGACTATTGCTTCCTTTTTTTGTAGTGCGAGTTGGTGCCAGCCATCATCAATTCATCTTTGCATGCCTTTCTCTACCACCGTAAGCAAAAGCCACCGAAAAAAGCCACGAAAAGCCATCCCATACTATTTTCACCAACTTCAACACAACTGAGGATGGAGGTAAAAATAAAAAAAAATTATGTATATGAATATGTAATATCTCACTGCTTGCGGTTCCTTAGTTTACAAATGCCTAGTGAATTGACATGACCCAAAAAAAAAAAAAAAAACGCAATCTTCTCTGAAAGGCATAATGCTTAAAGTAAATGGTTGCCCAAAAATTGGGAAGGGATATATCTCAAGACTGTCTTTCTTTCACATGCCATGTCACGTCTCGGGATCGGCTCCGCCATAGCACGATATTGTCCACTTTGGGCCCCCCTCTCTGCCCTCAGGGTTTTGTTTATAAGAACTCACGACCAACTTCCCAGTGGGTCACTCATTCTGGGATTGCTCTTGCCTCAACTCGCTTAACTTCGAAGTTCCCTTGACTCCGAAGCCAATGAGCTCCCAAAAGGTCTCGTGCTAGATGGAGGCGGGCATGTACATATAAGGCACATCATCCCCTCTTCGTTGGTCGATATGGGATGTTACATGCCAGGATGCAACTGCAAAAACAAGAGATATCTGCTCTTAAAACTAACTCTGTAACTAACTCATTATATCTTAGAGCAAGTACGCTTTAATTTAACGTTGCATTAACCACTACAACATTGATGAATAATTCTATACAGGCCTGGGTTCTTTATATTCTTGTCATATGATTGTTTTTGTCTCGTGTTATAAGTTTTTCATTGCAGAATGCACATATGAAATCTGCTTCCCACCCATTGTAATGGCTACACAGGTGTCATGATGTTATGTGGTTCCCAGTTTTTTATATGTTTGACAGTTTCAATAGGCTAGTAGCCGTTTGGTGTCATATGACTGATTACAATTTTTCAATTTCTTTTAGATTGGTACGGGTGTAACAAATGCATTGATTAATGCACGAAAAGCTATCGATAAATCTTTTGCTGGTGAAGCAGAGGATGTTCCCATATTATCAACTAGTGTAGCCTATGGAGTTTATATGGCAGTTTCTAGCAATCTAAGGTACACAGGTTTTCTGCAGATTTAAGTAATCTATTTATTATTTACTCTAACCTTCATGAACTGACAGCATAAACCATTAACAAACTTTTCAAGACTGACTGAAGAAACTTGGTATTTTAAAGAGTTACTATCATATCCATGGAGAATAGTATCTATCCAAAAAAACCATTTGTGGCATTTCTGGATGAAACTGGGCCTTTCTAGTTATCGAGAAGCTTTTTATCCTAAGAGCACATGGGGAAAAGAGAAACAAGATCTTCCAACTATTTGAATCCATATATAGTCTCCAAGAACATGTTGACGGAAGAAACCCTTTATAAAATTCTGCAGAATAAGGATCTGCAGAAGACACCTTGAAGAAGGAAATCTTCTGTTTACCATTATTTAGCTTTTTGATTGAGGGAAAAAAAAGAAGACCAATGCTATGATAATTGATGTTGGTTGGATAGGGGGGATTAAAGAAACATGCATCTCATCTTTAAGAGAAGGACTAAGAGATATCCTGATTATTTCATTGACTTATTATTTTATTTGGCAATGACACTACTATTTAATCATTGCTCATAAAGAGTTGAGGCTAGTCGGAAATGATAATAATTTATTTTTGTTATTATTGGAAACGTGCATAATGATATACCTTTTGTTTTAAAGGTACCAAGTTCTCGCTGGAGTAATCGAACAACGAATTCTAGAACCCTTGCTACACAAACACAAGATTATACTGAGTGCAATTTGCTTTGTTGTTCGAACAGGCAACACATTCTTGGGGTCCTTGATGTAAGATCTGAGTTCTCCTTTAATCTCATTATGTTAGTTGGTTGTGTTTTCCTCTACAATTCTCATGATTCTTTATATTGTGGAACAGGTGGGTTGATTATGCACGGTGGGTTGGAATTCAAAAGATACGAGATTAGAGCATAGGGTAGATTACATGATTATTGTAAGTAATTTTATTTTTGTGTGGATATTGATTTTGTTTATGGAATTACAGTGCGGTAACCTTCCGATAAAAATGCAAGAGATGGGCATTTAGAAAATAAACTAGCAACCAAGAGATATCGCCTATATATGCTTGCATCGTGGTGGGGTGGACAATCAGACCAAGCATGATCTTTGCCAATTAACCCATCTGTTTTCTTTATTTCATTTTTGTTTAAATATTGGCATATATAGATTATAATAGTTTAGACAGATAATTGAACTCTTAGAATGTCATATATATCCCCATTTGTAATCCAAATGGCTGTAAATTCATCCATCATATATAGAATCTCTTATTGATGAACTGTTTAACATATAAAAATGGTAAGGACATGCAATTCAACATATAATCCAATAGAGAACAAAAATTCAGAATCGGCTAAGAGTCTAAGACCTAACACAATTGAGATGACATGCAAACACCAAAGAATATAAGTTATTCCTAATGAACCAAAAGAAACAAAGAAAACAACAAACAATGTAGATGTCAGCACAACCATATTGGTCATCAACAATTCAGTGCCAAACCAAGGGTGCATATCTTATTTGATTGATGATGCAATAAGAATTCTGTATATGAATATGTAATATCTCATTGCTTGCTGGAGAGGCGGGTTAAGCCCGGGCAGTGAGCCTGCCTCATTGCACCAAAGTTCAAATTCCCCTCCCCGTAGATTATATTAATTTAGAGTATATTTTTGTTTGTAAAATTTGTATAAAAAAAACTATCTCATTGTTTGCTGTTCCTTCTCACTGTTTACAAATGCCTAGTGAATTGACATGACCCAATAAACAATCCTTCTTGCTTTGATAGGCAGAAAATTTAAAGCAAATGGTTGTCCAAAGAACTGACGAAACTCTATCATAGATATCTTTCTGAGTCCTTTCTGCACCACTGTCACCAGCTGCTGCAGAGGAAGAGGATTCTTTTCTTGAAATTTTGAGTTTGGGCCTATTTAACTCCCATTGCTGCTGAAAGTAGCAATGGATGGTTTCAACTCTTTCTGCAAAGAGGACAATACCATTGTAGGCGTCACACTCGAATCAAGGAGCAAACAAAACATCTGGAGAGAAAAAGAGCATGGCCATACGAGTTTACTATTCCCCTGCTGCGGTTTCTTGAGAAGCTTGAAGGGATGGGAGTTTGAAGACTATTCTGGCACAACACAACATCCACTTCCGTAATCTGTATATAGCATCTGGATATTGGAAGCGTTCCTGCCAATGCAGAAGCACATTCTTTAAAAAAAACACGGTAATCTGTATATAGCATCTGTATTTTTCAGCATGATTCAAAAGATAATTTGGTATTGTCCTTTACTATTATTGCTACAGATATTTGCGTCACACTCCTTTTCTGTCATATTATTGAGACTCCTTTTCTGTTATATTATTGCGAGTAGTTGCAAATATAATATCTCAGTGCAAATATCAAGAATTTGTCATAAGTATCTGGCAGGTTGAGTCGATATTTCTGTTCA